AACGATAGATGTAACATTTTTATTTCTTATTTATTATTATTATTATTATTACATTTGTTCACTTTTTGTCACAAGCTGCAAATGATGCAGCTATAATATAGCCACATGAATAAAACACTCTATTACTGGAAAAGGTTCTGCTTCTTTGATGTTTTTTGTCTAGTTCTAGTATGAAAAAAATAATTAAATGGTTACTCCACCCCAAAATGAAAATTTTGTCATTAATCACTTACCACCATGTCGTTCCAAACCCGTAAAAGCTTCGTTCGTCTTCGGAACACAATTTAAGACATTTTGGATGAAAACCGGGAGGCTTGTGACTGTCCCATTGACTGCCAAGTAAATAACACTGTCAAGGCCCAGAAAAGTATGAAAGACATCAGTCGATATCGATAATTATCACGATAAATGTAACATTTTTATTTCTTTCAAGTTTAAATTCACATTTTTGCTCCAATGTGAAAGTTGTAAAAACCAGATGGTTAATTGTGGTTTTCAACTATTCTTTATGGTCAGAACACGACAAACACTTAGTTTTTGAATTCTTGCACTTCTCCAGTCGTTTTTCCTTAACAAAATAAAGATCTTAATAAAAAAAATAATTTCTTAGTTCTGCATGTTCTAGTAATGAGTAATATTGTTTCAAATCAAGAAACAAGTTTGTGTTGCCTGATAATATTAATTAGATAATCAGAGTTAAAACCACAAATATAGCACCTCAATACCACGGTAAAAATTTTATATGGCTTGTAGGTATTTATGAGAAACATTGCATTAAAGCTATAGCTTAATCACAAAAAATACTGTAATTATATTCTATTACTCCTCCTTCAATATATTTAATACATGTCTACATTAATAATATAATAAAATTCGACACGAATACCCACATTTCTGACACAATGTAATGAGTAATATTGTTTCAAATCAAGAAACAAGTTTGTGTTGCCTGATAATATTAATTACATTTTAATTAACATTTAATTAACGTTTTTTGTCTCTTAGAAATACACATTTGATAGTAGCTTGAGTTAGGATGCAGATTTATTTTCATTATCAAAATCAGTAATATCTGAAAAAATTGTAGCAATCTCATTTTTATGTGGTGAAATTTAATTATTCTGACTGTTTAAGGTGTTTTTTAACCATATGAGCGAGACTCGTCAGCGAATGAACACATCTGCTCTAGTGAAGCTTGCGCCGCACCGCGCTGCTGTTTGAACTTTGATCCGAGCAGATAAACGCTCCGAGTGGCGCGCTTCAAATGACTAGCGCTCTTTCGTTCCGCCTTTGACGCATTATATCAAACATTTATCGAACTCTTGCTATCGTTTATCGAGGAAATCTATATTGTGCGATAATTATCGTTATCTATTTATCGCCCAGCCCTGGTATACGCGCAGTTTGCGTTCAGTGGATACTCTCCAAAATGGCGCTACGGTGACGCGGAGGAGATTAATTGTTGAATAAAGTCGTTATTTTTGTTTTCTTTGCATACAAAAAGTATTGTCGTCACTTCATAAAATTCAGATTGAACCACTGATGGCAGATGGACTATTTTGACAATGTCTTTCATACTTTTCTGGGCCTTGAGTGTTATTTACTTGGCAGTCAATGGGACCATCACAAGCCTCCCGGTTTTCATCCAAAATATCTTAAATTGTGTTCCGAAGACGAACAAAGCTTTTACGGGTTTGGAACGACATGGGGGTAAGTGATTAATGACAAAATTTTCATTTTGGGGTGGAGTAACCCTTTAAGGAATTTAATTGGAGTCTAATCCTCATCATACTTTGGAACAAAGTAGGGGTGGGCGATATCTTATCGTTTGCAATATATCGGTAAAAATTCTCCCCATGATAAGAATTAGTCTTCCCACGATAATAACAATAAAGTCTAGTCGTTGACATATTTCTGTGTGCAACAGTGCGGAGCGACATCGCGGAAGGCGGACGTGAAATCGAAGAGGAGTTTATCGCTAAACAAGGAGCTCCTTCTACAATCTGGAACTGGTTTGGTTAGGGCTGTACAGTGCACAAAAAATCGGTCTGAATACATGTACTACAGTAGCATGTGTGCGATACAGATTTGCATGTGTACGAGCCTGTTAACAAACCTGTTGTCCAACAAAGATATCATTTATTAACATGCTTTTTCTCCAAATTAACTTCATAACAGTTGAGTGTTTGAAATAACTTCTTTCTGTGACCAGACGTGGTTTCATATTACAGAATGATAGTATTATATACAGTGATAAAGGCTATGTCGATTAGCATTGCATTATAAATATACTTTCCTTATAAAAAATACCCAAGATTGCTTGAAGAACACAGATAAACCATATATTTTGTGCAATCGTGTGTGTTTATTGTCTTTAGTTTCATCAGTTAAAATTCTCCTTTGTGCGTTTTATTATAAAGATACTTTCCTTATAAAAAATACCCAAGATTGCTTGAAGAACACAGATAAACCATATATTTTGTGCAATCGTATGTTTATTGTCTTCAGGTTTCATCAGTTACAATTTCTCTATCGCCGTTGTGCGTTTTATTCGGCGATAACTGGATACCTTTGTTGTCCATATAAGGGATTTCACGGAGCGTCGTCAGTAGTATTACTTCTGCGATGCATATGTGGAGTTTCTGTGGAGAATATGTGGAGAAGGATTCTATTTCGTTATCACAGACAACATAAATTACATTTTAAAATGTATAAATATATTCCAATAGAAAATAGTTATTTTAAACCATAATAATATTTTACTATATTATGGTTTCAATTGTATTTTTGATCAAATAAATGCAGCCTAGGTGAAAATCTGACTTTAAAAAAATAAATAAAAATAAAATAATAATAATAATAATAAAAATAAAAATAAAAATAAAACCCTACTGACTCCAAACATTTGAACAGTAGGGCACGTGTAGAAATTAACATTAACTAATTAATAAATGCTGTTGAAGTATTATTCATTGTTAGTTCATAATACCTAATGCATTAACTGGTGTAAACTAATGTAAGTGTTACAAAAATACCTCCCAACAAAATAACACTATCAGTGGAATAAAATGTTGAAAACGTAAGCAGTTCAGGATTTTAAAATACCTATTCCTTGCCATCGAGTTACCTTTAACTGACATTATCAAGATATTATTCCAATACAACAACAAAAAATCAGTTCATTCAGTATGACCTTACAGGAATCTTAAAGAGGATTTTCATTTGATCCTTCAGGATTGGTTCCAAATAGAGCTGGAAATTCCAATGGGAATCATGTACACAGTCCTTTAGGATTTTGTGAGATTATGCTCTCAGAGAGTGCTGACTACATGATCACGGTACGTGCCGTGAAAAGTTGTGAACAACAGCCTATTTTCACAAGAGGGGTTTGTAAAAGAGAAGTGAAGGATTTTCTTTTTCTCTGTTTCAATATAAAAGAGTATGTTTTGTTAAGTTGTCAAGACATATGGCAAAGACAAGGAATACACCAATTAAAATAAATACAAAAGAACAAATGGTCTCCACTTCTAAACTCTATTCAAAAATACAAAACAATGTGCCAACTTAGTAGTACTTCATTAAAAAGAATAGTACTAATACAAATACAATTCTCAATTTCTTGGTTAGAACTGTCAACATTAGACTAGACCCGTACAGCAGCACATTCAGTGTAACTGTTGCTCTAAATCAGTTATCCTCAAATCTGGCTCGCGAGATCCACTTTCCTGCAGAGTTTAGCTCCAACCCTATAATCAAACAAACCTACCTATGATTTTCTAATGATCCTGAAGACATTGATTAGCAAACTCAGGTGTGTTTGATTAGGGTAAAGCTAAACTCTGCAGGAAAGTGGATCTCGCGAGCCAGATTTGAGGATCACTGCTCTAAATCAACAGAGAACTGCCGTAATAAATTTCAAACCAGTACAAAGGGGTCCCTTTTACAGTTAAGGAGGTGAATGGCTCGAAAATAACAGCGTATCTATCTATTTGAACAGCTGACAGATAAACAGGCCCGGTGCGAGGAAAAGAAGCGGCTACACACCCACACACTGTTATACAGTCATTCCTCTGTGTTGATTCAAGCGCAGGTGAGAGATGGCCGAACCTCGCAAAGCTCTGACGGGAATGTTGACGTCACTTCTGACAAGGACGAGACACAAGTTTACTCTGCCAAAATAAGGCTGAGAGCCTCTCGAACTCTGAGGCACAAAATTATATCATTTTACACATCTTACAACATAAAAAACAGTAAGACTTTATTTTACAGTTTCCTTGTTACACGTTACGTGTACTTACTATAGTAATAACAGTAAATTATGTATAATTACATACAAAAACCCTACAGTAAGTACATGCTGTCGTTTAAAACCTGTACGAGTTAATTTCTTATGCTGAACATAAAAGAAGATAATTTGAAGAATGTTGGTAGCTAAAAAGTTGATGGTCCCCGATAGTAGGCGAACTTTACCTTTAAAATCATTTTAAACAAAGAAAAAATAAATAAAAGCGCAACAAAAAACAGTTGAAAGTCAAGTCCTTAAGTTGAAAGTCATTTGCAACTGACACAACACATTTGTGTCTACCGGGTTAAACCCTTAAAAGAGCATTCAAAACCACATGGTTGACCATATTAACTTAACAAACTTTATTAAGATTAACTAGCCTAAGAGAATGTAATGAGAAAATGTGCAAAAGAGTGACGTTGATTGCGGTACTGCGTAAAGGAAAAGCAGGCACCTTTGTTTAGGGATGCCCAATCCAGGTTTACACCGTGACCCTCGTGGTTTTACCCAAACAGAGTTTGACCCAGACAAAACAAAGTCAAAACGTAGCCACAGCAAGACTGTTGTTCTATCAAACAAACATCAACAACCTTTGACTTCAAAGAATCTTCAACTGCAAGCATGTTTCTACCTCCCTACCCCTTTTTCTCTTTTTCAAAACAACGCACGTTTCTTCACGCACTTGCGTTTGTGTATCTGCTGCCCTTCAACTCACCGGTGCTGGGCATGCTGGTGCTTCTGGACTGAGAAAGCAGCTCCACGGGTCGCTCTCTGCTGGATGTGCTGTCTGAAGAGAAGCAGGATTCTGTCTCATAGATCGTCTGCAACATCGCGCACAGTCCCGGTACGGTTGGCTTCAAAAGCATGCCAGTCTCAAAATATCGCCACTCAATTAATGCAAAAACAAATTAACATGAAAAAGGAGAAAGTTAACACATTTGAAGCAAGAGGGGAAAAAAGCAGCGCGTCCTTTATCGAAAGGTACATGCATGCAAAAAATCGACAACCGCTTTGCCTGTTAATTCCATGGTCCTAAAACAAAAAATAAAAATAAACAAATGCAATCAGAACAGGTATCCGCTGCAGACAAATCCTTAAATCGTCCACTCAAACTATCAGCTTTACGGCCGCACAAACGAGGCTATTCATAAACCACATCACCTTCTTGTCTAATTGTCGATGTCAGAAACAAACTGCTAATTCACACCGACAAGTCCAAGTGTGGCTTGTATCCAAGACCCCGGTCTGAGCGTGCCTGGATCCTGAAGTCATGCATGTGGCATCGGCGGACTCCGAAAGAGCGACTTCCCCATGACGAAATGCGACAGGACGAGATGAAAGCGACAGAACGGGAGAGACGATCACTTTTGCCTACCGGTCCCTCTGTTCCTTCCTTCCCTTTGCCTCTCCGTACAAGTCGCTCTCCTGATGAATGGGCTTAAAGTGAACCGTCCGACAGCTTCGTTTAGTGCGACTGTGTTGCTTTTATGTAATTGTTCAAAGCCGAATCTCTGCACCCTCACCCGCGGTGCACGGCGAACGAGAGAGCAGAGGTATAGAGACGTGGAGTTTACAAACAGACTGGAGCTAACTAATTCATGCATCTGAAACACTAGTGTTTAAATCTTTCGTTTAAATACAGTGGACTGCTTGCTTCTTACACAAGGAATCTGCGTCAGCACTACTGACACAGAGAACACAAGGGTCACCGTTTCACAAGCGCATGTGGGTCAAAAGACTAGGACGGCCAATGCAGCATTACCAAACCTTTGACATGCCAAGCGCTGTAAGGACATTCTATTTATCAGTCAAATCAACAACAGCAACTCACAAAGTGAGCTGCGACATATAAATGGTAAAGAAAAGTATCGATTAAAACATGGGAATTTGTTGTGTTGTAAAATTGTGTTGTAATTTTTTTACAACTGAAATATTTCACAAAAATATGTTATAATTATATAATATATTTAATTTATTGGCTTATTTATGTATAAAAAAAAATTATCATAAAATACAAAAACTAAATATGTTTATATGTATTAGCATATATAACACAACATTAGCATATATAAAATTATATAAATTGCACTTAAATCAAATTGGAAATAAATATTTAAACGCTTACAATGTAGGGCTGAACGATTTTGGAAAATAATCAAATTGCGATTTTTATTCCAAGTTACGTCCTTTGGCTGTTTACGGTTTTATTTATTTTCTTTTTCTGCTGATGGCCCGCGCTCGACTTGAAGCAGCGCTGCTTAGACCGATGGGTGTGTGTCATCAAAGTACTGCGAGAGCTATAAGAGAGCGGAAGTCTCCTTATGCTTTCTCTCGCCGTACTTTGATATCATACACCGATTGATCTTCAAGTCGAACACACCTTTACTCTTGCGTGTCACGTGACCGAGTGTAATCGCAGCCTCTGCGATTGAAAAATCGCGTTTTCTCATATCGCGATATTATCGCAAATGCAATTAATCGTTCAGCCCTATTACAATGTAATACTTAAAAAATGTAATACATTACAATTATCTAATGTAGTGTGCAAAAATGAAACAAGGCTTCAAAATAACATTTTTCAAGTTTTTTTTCTTTAAATTTTTATACTAAATAAATAAATACATAAATAAATAAACAAACTGCCTTGAATTAATAAAATCTAAAATAAACATTTAAACCATAAATTATTATTATTATGCAGACGTGTGCAAAATGAACAGGAAAACTGAATATAAATTTTCACATTTTTATTTTTTAAATAAATAAATATTACAAATAAATATTTAAGCATTTAACAAAATAAATTTTGTAGATTATTACCGTATTATCTAATGAAAATGTACAGAAATGCACAATTGCATTAAATTAAATGTTTTAAAATATCTATTAAATGTAATATGGGCTGTTGAAAGGCAATTTTCTAATTGATAATGAAGACCTACACAGTTTCAATATTTAAAAGACCACAATGATGTTTAAATCAGTAATGCACTAAATCTTTCTGATGTTAGGTGTGAGGGCACCATAATGCATCCATTGTAAATTGCACCATTGATTTCATGCCATATGGGTGGACATATGACCAGGTTATCAGGCATCGATGTTCTGCATCAGTTTAGGGACCCAATGCCTAATGCATGCTCATCGCATTTATTACCCAGATGTGCATGTACCCAGCGTTTCTTATCATTGCCTGGCCATAGGGCGTGATCTAAGAGGGCAAATACAGGTTGTGTGTGTGTGTATTTATGCAGGCAAAATCAAAGCACACTCAACTTTCAATGTTTTGGCAGCCATGGCAGGGCTAACACATAATTTGAAGTTTTGCAAGGCATGATTTGCCCATGAGCAATTGACAGCATGCTAAAAAATAAATAAACAAAAAATAATAAAAGAAAAAAAATATATAATTTAAATCAAATTTAAAATAAATATTAAAACATTTATTTGACAAAACTAATGTAATATACTGTTATTGTAAAGAAGTGTGCATTCAAAAAGGGATACAATTTTTATTTTTAATTAAGATTTTTTAAGTAAATGAATAAATAATAAAATTAATCAAATATAAAATAAATATTTAAACATTTAATAAAACAAATACATTTTTAATACTATCATTACTGTTATCTAATGGAGTGTGCAAAAAATGCATTTAAATTTCCATAATTTTTTTAATTTAATTTTTAGATTTTTAAGTAAATAATGAATCAAATTTAATATAAATAATTTAAACATTTCTTAACACAAATGTAACATTCTTATTTATTATTATTATCTAATGAAGTGAAAAAAATGCATTTAAAACGCATTAAATTTAGATGTTCAAATAAAAAAATGTTACCTACAATTTTGCACCATATAAGTCAAATTAAAAATAAATATTTAAACATTTAATACAAAAAATGTTATGTATTAAATAGTTCTCTCTCTTGCTATATATATATATATATATATATATATATATATATATATATATATGTGTGTGTGTACATATATGTGTGTGTGTACATAATAATAATAATAATAATAATATGATTTTTTTTGTATGTAATATATAATTTCTTTTGGTTGTTTTGGGTGAAACAGAACGTGTTCTTGTCAGTTTGTGTGAGATTCTCCCTGATACTTGTGTAAATCATGTCTGAGAACTAAAATTAAACTCATAGCACGTGCCTATATCGACCATTTTTTATATCGTTATCGGAGAAGGTGTACCGTCGATAAATATCGATACCGTTTTATCGCCCAGGCCTAATCAAACATACCTAAAGCAACTAATTAAGGTGTTCAGGACCACTTGAAAATTAAAGGCAGGTGTGTTTAATTAGAGTTGGAGCTGAACTTTGCAGGACAGTTGCTCGCCAGGAGCAGGATTGGGCACCCCTGACTAAGACTTTGCACTTGTTGCTCTTTAAGTTACAAGCACACTTAACTGCTATCTGTCCCACAGCTGCATGGACGTCAAAGATGTTCATAGTCTTTTCGACTTCAGTCTCGCCTGTTGGCTTTCGTCTCTAACCACCCCCGTTATTTATAGGTGGATGTACCTTTTGGGCTTTCTGACGTTAGTTGGGCTTATATTTAGCTGTGAGAAGGTGGGGGGAGCGCACCACTTGTTTTTTAATCCCTTTTTTTCACAAGTGATGAACTCATGTTGGTAATGTCAAGGACTTTGGCAGCAGACTTTGTTTGACAGCTAGTCTCTCGCCTTTAGCAAGACCTGACCCAATTAAGGCCAACCCAAAGCGAGCCGTAACCTTTTGCCACCGGGTTCTGAAGGAATCTTGGACGCTGGAGAAGAATGGTAAATAAATGTGGCCGTTCCTCACTGTGGCTGCGGACAGATGGGCTAAATGTGCGCTGAAGCTTCGGGAGCATGTGAACTCTCTCTCTCTCTCTTCCTCTCTCTCCCACCCTAAATAACATTGACTATATTAGCTCACACTTACGAGCCCACAAAAATAGTCTCGGTTTGGATGGGATTAATTAAAACAAAGCCAAGAAAAACACAGCGGTTTCTCACACAGATAACCAACTCTCTTACCGGGGACTGTCCTGTGACCGCTGCCATGTTAGGAAAATGTATTTTAAGTATGCTAAGTCAAGCATCACTATTGCTGTGGTTTGTTCTAAATCCCCAAACCCTAAATATTCAACTTTTACATTTATTCATTTAGCTTTGCAAATGACAAAACACATAACGCACTGTTGTGCCATAAACATGAATAGTACCTCAAATTGTACCTCATGAATAGTGGGATCATTTCACTGCAAGTCGATCCAACACGGCACAGACAAACCCGGGGCCTGTCGATACCCCCTGAATAACAACCGCCTGATCGATGAGCAATTTGTTACCTGTCTTGATTATGAGCAAAGAGAATTTCTCAGGTCTGCAAAATCCATTCTGAAAGTGCTGTCAAGTCCAAAAACAAACGTAATAAAAGAAATTAAACTGAATCGGAGAAATTAGCTCCAGTTTGCTAAATTGTTTCTTAAATGTTCTCGTTTGAGCGACTGCCAGACATTCCTGTGAGAGAAAGGCAATGAGAATTAGCTTTCAGTTCTGCTCTGCAATGGGGTCTAAAGGACACACACACACACACACAAAGGTGCAAGCCTTCTAAAAAATCCTTCTGAGCACATACATGAGCAAATGCAGTCAAATGTATCATTAAACTGCCCATGAAAGCCTGATATGGTGCCTGTATACATTTACAGCGAGAAAAACAACCTTTTTTAGAATCATCATTTGATGACTCATATCAAGGCATAGACTGATGCACTTACACCCAAAGTGAGGATTTACACACACATACACACACACACGGCACAGGGGACGCATACAGATTCTTTCTCCTCAAATAGAAAGCTGCGATGACTCATTCTCTGCACAGCCCCAACTGCAATGCTCCTCCCTGCCAGCAAACACACACACTCTCACATACACATACACTGGTGTGTATTTATTCCACCGATTCAAATATTAACACGTACAGATAATGAAAAGATCCTCTGTGTTGGAGGAAGGCCTCCTGTGGTATTCCAGAGAAATCAATGTTTCGAACAGGTTGACTCATTTAAAGCGGTGTTTACTGACCCGTATCCCGCTCACTTTTCAGACAACAAACTGCTCTAATTATGATGCGAGTTGAGTTGGAAGCCAAGGTTAAAAAAAAATATGGATGAAGAATAGCGCATGCACGTACATCACTAAATGATTTAAAGTGTGCATTTATGTCTATTTATGCTGGTATTTGAAAGATATTTGCTTTTACCAATACTTTTCACAGTTGCACACACTTTTTTAACAGGTTTATCGGTTCTTTAATGTCAGGTCTATTGATAAACTGTGCAATTTTTATTTTACTGTGTCAAAAAGCAGAAACAAAAACAATTAAAGGTGCAGTATGTAATATTGATGGGCTATGCAGTCCAAATTCAAAATATTGGAGAGAGTTGTTTCTTCCACCCCCTCATCCTCACACTCGATACTCACACGGGTTGCCAGATTGAGGACATGCAAAAGGAACGAGCGCAGCTGACGATGGAAGGCGACAAGC